AGATTTAATGGGCTTATTTAAAAATATTAAGGGAGAAATCGGTTCAATTCAGGATTGCATTCTACATTTGTAGATGGTTATTCCCAATTTTCATTTTTTTTCATTACATCAATTCCACACCATTAGTCTGTGTCTAGGTCTGAAACTTTCCAAAAATATAGTCTTATTTGTCAACATTTCTCAGATACCTTATTCAGCCATGTAATTCATTTTAGTGTACTTTTTTAATTAAAAAAAGTAAATTCCCTTTTCTTTGTTCTCTGTAAATTGTACTAACTCTAGATTAATAAAAAATAGTGTTTGTTGGCAAAAAGAACAGCAAATAAGGAATAGACCAATGAACATACGTGGAAGGCCCGTGTCTGTTGGGCTATGCTTTGCAGCTAGCCATGAACACGTTGCAATCTTCAGAAAAATTGTTCCATAAACCTGGACATGCTCTGCGGGGAAAGTGTGTGCCCCAAAGTTTGTTCCTTAGGGAACATTGCTCCACTACAACGTGGTAGAGTGGTCAATGAGTTCGGGAAATGTTTCATACTATATAGCTTGGACTTTCAAATGCACATTCATATATTCGAAACTCTGAAAAGTGCAACAGTAACCCTCTTTAACTTTGTATCAATTTTCCACCGCTATTCGTATTTTCCATGGAACACACCTCTCGCCTGGGGGGTAGGGGATGCTGCCATAAGTCTATTCAATTGACCATTTTCTTCTCATAAACTACCAGTTTGACTAGGCTGGATTTGGATACAACTGTCAATCAAGATCTTGTAAGGCTAAGATGACCAAAAATAGATAAAACTATATAAACTATGTTTGTGATCCAAATAATCTATGGAAAAGGGATGGTTCAGGATGGTGAATAAGCATTTCATACAGCTAAATTTATTCAGTTTGAAGGACTGACATTTATTCTGAATCCTTCCATTTAAAAAATAAATAAATAAAGATAGGAGATTTTATTTGGCTCAGCTATGAGCTTTACCATGAGGCTATAATCTCCATCATGGCAGAGACAATATCTGTTTTTACTCACAATCATAAGCTCAACATTCTAGTAAGAGCCTGACTCCAAGTAGGCTTTCAGAAAAATTGTTAAATAAATACTAATAATCCTGTTTAGTGACCTACTTGACAAATATATATAGTTGACAACACTATACTGGTCTGATAATTGTCTCTAAAACTCGAAACTCTTGGAATTTACTGGATTAGACGGAAGTCAATTTTGCTAAAAATATCTATTGCATCAGAGCTTCTCTTCTGTAGTGCTATCATTAGGAGGCAGCTATCCAAACAGACATTACGTTCCCAGCCCCCTTCACATTCCAGTGAAGCCACGTCACTAATTTTAATCAGCAGAGTGAAAGTGGTCATTTATGTCACTCTAGTTCAGGTCTTTCTCTGTTAGCTGGCTGAACGCATAGGACCCCCAGGTTCTAGGAATGATGGAACTGTAGGATCTTGGGTCCCTGAATCACCACAAAAAGGAAAGCCCAGGGAGATCTGCTCAGTGCTTTGTGACCACCTAGAGGAGTGGGATAGGGAGGGTGGGAGGGAGGGAGACTCAAGAGGGAGGAGATATGGGGATATATGTATATGTATAGCTGATTCACTTTGTTATAAAGCAGAAACTAACAAGCCATTGTAAAGCAATTATACTCCCATAAAGATGTTTAAAAAAAAAAAAAAAGGAAAGCCAATTAGAAAATGAACCACACACATCAAACTAGTAAATGAATACGAATAAACTTTATTATGTTAAGCCATTGATATTTTGGAATTTGTTTCGGAAGCTAGTGTTATCTAATATCAAATATGGATTCACATAAATATATACTTTCACAGACATATACTAGAAGCATATGAACCAAAAAGAGTTGGTAGTCTCTAGGTAATAGGATTAACAGATTTGGGTTTTGTCTATTTTTTAAGTTACCATATTTTCTAAATTTTCTTCAGTGAATAGGCATTACTATGCATTAGATTTATAATCAGGGGAAAAAACATGAAATAAATGATACATATTTTTAATGATTTCTAGCTCCAAAACCGCTTCCTTTTTTGTTTTGGGATCCTTTCAAAATCCCTAAATTTTTCAAGCCCTTTGTTCTGGACCTCTAAACTGGGAATATATTCCATCCTTAGTCAGAACTGGCAAATTGCCAGTCATCCCTGCACTTACCCATGGGCATCGAGGCATAATCACATTCCAACTTCTCTCTTTGCCACTGTCTAGGGAAGGTCACCTGTCTGGATCACTTTACTATAGGTGGATCTTTCATTATTGCATTTGTAACTTTTTATTCTGAAAAAATTTCAAATTTTAAAAAGTTGCAAGAATAGTATTTAAAAACTCCTATATCTTTCACCCACTGTCCTCAATTGGTATCATGTTACCATATTGAATTATTATTCTCTCTCTGTGGACAGATGATAGATAGATGATAGATAGAGCGATAGATAGATAGATAGATAGATAGGATTCTTTTTTGAACCATTTGAGAATAATTTGAACAATAAGTTGAAGGCATCTGGCAGTATTCATCAAAATTCTCAAAAATATGCAATTATTAATATGTAATTCCACTTATAGTAACTTATAAGGCAATACTTATAGAAATGAGAGTTTTAATTATAAGAACGTTAATCACAGCAATGTTTATCATACTGAAAAACTGGAAATGGCCTGTACGTCCAACAATAAGAGTTTAGTTGAGCAAATTGTACAGTGCAGTTATATCCTGCTTCCAAATGTCCTGCTATTTGCTATTCATCATTGGCCTCCGTAGCCGTTAAGATAAAGTCCAGAGCTCTTAATTCATCTGCCTCTGTTGACTGCATCACTCTAATCACTCTTATCACCCTTGACCCTGCCTGAGACTACTCCAGAGAAAATGATCACCCAAGATACTTTCAACCTCACATGGCCTTGATGAATTTTGGTTTTATCATGGATGCTTCTCTGACCCTCCCCACACAGAGGCTCGAACCAGGGACCATTGTACATGGAGACTCCGTCCTCCCTTGAGTCTCAGGCATTCCTCCCTTGAGTCTCAGGCACTCCTCCCTGATAGCCTAGGAAACAGGTACTGTGACCTGATCCAGGGCAGCAGTAAAAAGCCTGGGCTGTTCAGGAAGGTCTGCTCAACTAAAGAGCAAACTAACTTAGAATATAATCAGAATCCTACCAAATATTCAACAGATAACCTATCCCAATTTCAAAGAAAGAGTCAATGCCTCAAAATTATATATATTCATGAGAATTCCTACCAGAAGAATGTCAGCTTTATTCTTAGCAACATCAAGTAGAAAAATAGATTCCCCTGGCTCCAAAGATTTGAGTTTCCAAAAGCTGTGTATCCTTTTCTAGCCAGTATGTGCACCTTCCTTACTAAGAACAATGAAAACAAATATAATATTACACAATTTCCAAAGGAAATCATTTTACTTTGATATCTCAGATTCAGACATTCTGAAGTAAAAATAAACATGAAATTTTAAATAGGGAGTGTTTGAGATGATCATATTTCTTACATAAATATTTAGAAGGAAAATCATAGAATCTGATATAACACTTATGAAATAAAAAGAATTAAAGTTAACAATAAAATATTCCTCATAAACATTACAAGTATTTCATTAGACGGACAAATTCTGAGAATCGAGAAGGAAGAACTCTGAAACATAATATTTATTTAAAAGACAATACAGTTTGTGTTGAAGACATTGTTTGCTAGGGAGAAATGGCTTAAAAATGGAATGGAAAAATGCAACATTCTTAATTGATCGGACTGGCAAATCAAGCGGTATTGAACCACTTGCTTCTCTCAAGGAGTATGCAAGATACCACACAGAAATTTAATTTTATTTAGTTTATTAATATGATCCAAACAGAATTAGTTTAAGAAATGAGCAAAAGACACAAAACAAGATTTGGCTAATCTATACTATACCAAGAGAACCAAAAAAGGTGACAAGATTTTCAGTTGGTGACAATTTTACGATGGAAAGTTAGTTTATTAACTAATATAAAAATACATCTACAATAGCAACTGTGACTCAGATTGAGCCAGTATGCAACACGTGTGACACCCACCATGGTCAGGGAGGTACTACAGGGACCTCACACCCTCCTCAGCTGGTTCACACTATCTGGCCTTTGCCCTGGAGCCCCACAAAACACCCCTCACAGCATAGAGTTTGCGGCCAATTATATTTTCTCCTCAGCCTACAATCAGTTATGTACCATTTCTATGTTTCCCATAGCCTCTTTCTTTTTAGGTAGTGACAGAGCTCAAGGAAAAAAACTCACCTGGCCAGTGCTGAGCGGGAAAGGGGGAAAAAAAAGTACTTTGAGATGGATTCAGGGTAGCTTGGGACTCAGACTCAGAATGGGCACCATCAGAAAGCATTGAGGTCCGTGGGTAATGCACAGAAAAGGACAGAACCAGATAACGCGGAAAGGTAGGAAGGACCACTGTTACATCTGGGAAGTCACACCAGAGAGCAATAAAGAGGAAGAAAACTGGAAGGCAGAGAACTTCCTTTTACACCTTTAAGATGAAAACATTAAAAAAAAAAAAAAAAAAAGGAATATAGAAACCAAATCAACAATTTTAAAAAGTAAAATAACAAGGAGTATTTCAATAAAATGAAATACAGAAGGAGATAAAGAATTCTTTTACTTCCACTGGACTTTATCCCTAGTTTTGAAGAGGTTATATTAAGTCAGGCCAGCTTTGCTCTATTTGGGGGTCGATACATTTTATCAGATGTTTCTGAGGAAAAGATGAGAACCCGACTGACATCTCTCAGGCAGCCTGGGAAGAGGGGGAGGGGAGGAAGGGAACATGTGAAAGGAAAGTCTCCAAGAGCTTCACCCTCACCCTTCACGCCCAAAGTGTCTTTAACCTGCACGTTAAATGTCAGGTTCGGATCTCGGAAAACCACGGTTACGGAGCACAACAGGACTACGTGCTTAGTGGCGCACGTGATTACAAGCTCGTGATGCTTAGTGTGCCGCCCAGAACCATGAAGCACAGGAGCAGCTCGAGAGACACATTTCCACGCAGAGAAGTGGAAGAAGCTCCACACACCAAAGGCTCTGCTTTATAGGGTCTTTCTATATCCGGAGGTAACGCTGTCATCCCTTGAATCTGCAAAGGAAAGAGCAGACATCGCCACTGAGTGTGTGATTTAAGAGCAGGACTGCGGCCAAGCTCGCTCAGCCTTTGCGCTTCTGCAGGGCTTAAAGGGGTGGCGGTATGGATGCTCAAGTTGTGCACCGTCCGGGGGTCAGAACCTTAAGGATTCCCAGCGAGGGGGCGAAGAGGGCCGGACACGCCTTTGGGAAAGAAGTCATAGAAAACACGCTCTGTCTTTTTTTGAAGCTCTCATCCCATTTTATTCCTTCTTCACCCCAACTTTAGTTTTAGAATAGACTGGCCTCTTCAAAGGAAGTGGAATCAGGAGTTTTGGGCCAATCTAGGTAATCACTGAATAAATTCGCAGACATATCAAAAGACAGCTGGACCACTGGGTTTACGGATATCTGTCTGTTCCTTTGATTGTACTTGTTGTGGATTCAGGTAAGATGTAACATCTGGTTTCCCCGAAGATTAAAACAAAATGGGGCTTACCGACCACTCTGCGTTGTCTGTCTTGGAACATCTCACGTTCACCGGCAGGCTAAGGACAATCTTATTGAAGGCAAGACCTTCCTTTTTAGTCCATTTAAACTTATTCATTGCATCCATAAAAGAAAGGTTTTTATACTGCTTGGGGCTTTTAATAATGAAAGGCCAGGTCCTGAATTTAAAATAAATAACCATAATTAGTCACATTCAGAACAAAAGCATTACATGTTTCCATCACTTTTCAACATTCTAAAATAGACTTCATACTTGTTCACTTTTACACACACAGATAACCTAATGCAAAGCACTGATGAACTCTTAAGCAGTTGCTAGAAGAAATACGTATAAAATAAGGAGTCTTCTAAAAAAAAACAAAATTCCTCGGTTTAGTAACAGATGGGCATTACTTTTTTTTTTTTTTTTTTGCTGTATGCAGGCCTCTCACAGTTGTGGCCTCTCCCGTTGCAGAGCACAGGCTCCGGACGCGCAGGCTCAGTGGCCATGGCTCACGGGCCCAGCTGCTCTGCGGCATGTGGGATCTTCCCGGACCCGGGCACGAACCCGTGTCCCCTGCATCAGCAGGCGGACTCTCAGCCACTGTGCCACCTGGGAAGCCCGGGCATTACTTTTAAACAAATCGTTTTGGCTTAGAAAGCTTCCCCAGAGCCTCATAATTCCTCACGTACTTGTTTCGGTTCTAGTTAACAATATAACTGGTAAGCATTCAGTTCTGACGAGTATAATGCTAATGGTGTAATGAAGAAACATATAGAATCTCAAAAGGTACTGAACAACGTTGGAAATTTCAATTCCATGCTGTTGAAAAGCCTGACCGCTGCTGGCTGCCCTGTTTTAGCTTGCCTAAGTGACAAAAAGTTTTGAAAAATTTGAAATTGAACCAGTGTCTTTAATATTCCACTGAGAAAAAAATACTCTACAGATGATACATTCTGCTTCTACTTTGCTGCTCTAAAAAAATTATGTTAAATGTCCAAGAAAGAAGGACGAAATCACAGAAGAATGACATGACCAGCTTCAATAGGTACTCTTCAGGTGATGTCTTTCATTAAATATAAGTTTGATATTATTGATTCTTGAAAAAAGGAAAAGTGTAAGTGTTGGCATAGCTCAGAAATTTACATAAACTACTCCACGGACCTTCCAGGAGATTATCATGGGTAAGCAGTAGGTATTTGGCTCCCTTGACACCCCAAGAGGAAGTTCCAGTGATTTTCAGTAACTAACAATGAATTAACCTCCAGCTGAGGAATCTACATTTTTAATATTTGATCTTCACAATTTCTTCATTTAATTATGTCACTACCGACTCTCTCTCTTACACACATAACCTACTCAGGCACATTGAATATTATCCTTTTAATTAAATTAAACATCCTTTATTAATCTTTTACAGTTACAAAGATAAATTTTTAATGTTTAAAACAAAATCATTTCCTCTGCACTCCAATAAGACAATGAATAATACAATAGGTCATATATGAGAATCTTTATATTCTTTATTCCTAACCTTCTTTTTCCTTTAATTAAAGTCAATATATCTTTGTTGAGTTTTAAATGTACTATTTTGCACAGAGACCTTAAAGTACCATAGAGAGCAATCACCATCATACTACATTAAACATATCTAGCAATGACCTTAGATCTATAACATTGTAAATTAAATACACTGTGAAGACTTGCAGAGATACAATCCAGAATTAGTATAAAATAAAACTTGTACATGTAAAAACTTGCATAAAGTAAAAATTTGACTTGAAAGGGGCCCATTATATTTACATACAATGTCCTTTTAAATACACTAAAAGCTTTACATTTCATTAAATATAAAATAACTTTAAATCAAATATTAAAAATCAAATTTACTTTTCAAAGAGCTAAGGTATTTGTCTTGAAAAAAGGAAAATCAACTTCATCACCAGGGAAATGCTGGGGGTTAGCGGGGTGGGAGTGGGCGGGGGGTGTGGAGATCATCAGCCTGTAATCACCTAAAACACCACAAGGTGGCAATGGAATCTCTGCTAAAGCACTAAGGTGGACTAAGTGCCCTAAAATTTCCGCAGCCTTGCTGGTAAGAGTGAATAGTGTTATTACATACGTAGATGAAATCTTTAAAAGTTTTACCGCTGAAACAAATTAGTAAAATAGTATCTGTTTGAGATTTCACAGTATAAAATGACAGAAGAGGTATAAACACATTTATTTACTTACTATAAATATATGGAAAAGGATGTAGGAAAGGGCAGACCCAATGAATCCTATGCTGGAGCCAGCATGACAGGCCGGGTGAGGAGAAGCACGTCACAACCTCCCTGACCTGGCATCTTGTCTCATTTTTATTGTCTCCTTTCCCTTCCTACTAAATCTGTTCAGGCTCCTACTCTGTAACATCACACCAACTAATTTCCTAACCTTTCCAGCCTGTCCTACACCACACTTCCAGATTACCATTGGAGAAAAGAGAAGGAAAAGACAGAATGAGGAGAAATCCTGAAATAGTAAATATTTATCCTGAGAGGAATGTTCTAGAAATTAAAACAGTTACATTCCTGCACATCTGGGCAGTGTCCAAATGACTACCCAGATATACGTATAAATAGAAGGGTATTATTTATATATCACTATAGTTGATAAAAAGGAAGGATTTAATATTAATGAGTAACTTTCCTTTGTAAGCTTAATTTAATTGACTAGTTGATTTAAAAATACACAAATATGGCATACACTTAGACTATCCAAAATAATTTTGGAAAAAGAAAAAAAAATGACAAGTTTGGAGACTTACACATTACACACTCTTATTTCAAGATTTACTATAAAACTATAATAATAATCGAGTGTGGTATCATAGTAAAGCTAAACATGTACCACAATGAAACAGAACTCAGAGTCCAGAAATTGTCAGTATATGGTGAAATGATTTTCAGCAAACCTTCCAGAGTAATTATATAGGAAAAGGGTAGTTTTTTTCATCAAATGGTTCTTGTACAACTTGATATCTGTATGAAATACAATGAACCTCAGCATATACAACACACAAAAAATTATTCAAAATGGATCATCAGCCTAAAGCTAAAACTGTAACGTTTTTAGGAAAAAAAAACAGGAGAAAATCTTCACAACCTTGGGCAGGCAGCAATTTCTTACGTGGAATATCAAAAGCACAAAACAAACCAAAAACGATAAAACAGACTTCAAAAAATACAGTTGAAAAAGTAAAATCAAGCCAGACTGGGAAAAATTATTTGCAAACATATACCTGACAAAGATTTATACCCAAAGTATAAAGAACTCCTTAAAATTATGAAGGACTCTTACAACTCAATAATTTTTAAGAAAGTAACCCAATTAAATGGACAAGAATTTGAACCATTATGAAGGAACATATATAAATGACTAATAACCATGTGAAAAGAGGCTCTATATCATGCGTCATGGGGAAATGGAAAATAAAACTACAATAAGATACCACTGCATACACATTAAAATAGATAAAATTTAAAATCTGGAAAATACATTGGGAAGATTGTTAAGCAGTAGGAGATCTTATTAATCTGGTGAGAATGTAAAAAGGTACGCTATTCTGGAGAACATTTTGAGAGTCTTATGCAGTAAACATAAACTTAGTGTACAATCCAGGGATTCCACCACTAGGTGTTAACCCAGAAATTGAAAACATATGTCCATACAAGGATGAACACAATCATGTTCATAGCAACTTTCTTCATAATAGCCACAAACTGGAAAGAATCCAAATGTCTTTCAACTGGTGAATCGATAAATGAATTTGGGTATATACACACTGGGGAATACTACTCAGCAATAAAAAGGAAAGGACTGCTGATACATACATACATATATATTCATGTATATATATGAATCTCAGTATATATTCATCAGTGTAGATGAATCTCAGAAACATTGTAAGTTAAAGAAGCCAGGCACAAAATAGTACATACCATCTTATCCTATTTTCATAAAACCTAGAAAAGATCAAAGCCAATAGATAGTGACAAAGCAGTTTCATGGAGCTTTGTGTGGAGGGTCGATTGTCTCCAGAGGTGTGAGAGAAGTTTTGGCGGTGATGAAAATGCTCTATATCTCATTTGTGATGTGGTTAAACAGGGGTACACATCTGAGAAAACTTTAGAACAGTATACTTAACCATAGGGGCATTTTATTGTATGTATGTTCTACCTCAAGCAATTTGACTTAAAAAAAAAATAAAAACATAACAAACCAACAAAAAAGACACAGCGTACACTTTACCAATCAAATTGCTAAAGAAGGAAACCAGGAAACCTGACTTTACGAGGCACAACTCCTAATCCTCTGGACACTCCCTGAGCCAGTGAATGTTGCAAAGCACCCAGTAAAGCTGAATCTCCCTGATAGAAGCAAAAGCTTGAGAGCTGCAACAGATCTGACAGCATGATATAAGGCCTGGGACATTCCCTTATGGAAAGGCATTCAGCCCTAACCACTGAGTAAACATCCTCTAATAGATTTTTAATAAAATCTGAGGAAGGAATAACCCATGCATTGTGATATAGAGTCCCACCTCTACACACACAGCTCTTTACCCTCAAAATACAGAAAAGGAAGTACATAAAAATACATCACCCAAACTTCAAACTGTGGTGTGGAGAGAAAGAAAGCTACTCTCAGATTTGCTTAGAAGGTAGTAAAAATTCACCTATGTTTTACCAGAGCAAAGAGAAGTTTTAAACAGAACTGGCTCAGCATAAGCAAGAAATGACAAACAACCATGCAAACTTAGAGTGAAAGGAAATTATATCACATTTCATATAAGGAGACAGAAAAAATCAACTCTAGAGGAAGATATAAATCAATTATACTGGAGAGAACTCCCTCAAGTGTTTCACGCTGTAAGTTTATTTAATCAGAACATGAATTCAATTAAACAAGAGCTCAAATACAAGATGATAAAACAACACAATGAGATGAAAAGAGGGATAGCAGACTAAAGGAAATACATTTAAGACAAAAAAATTAGTACCAAATAAGTGAGAAAAAACAGGAAGCAGAAGAGCACTTCTGAAAAATTATGGGAAAATGCTTGAGAAAAATCCCAAATAGATTAGAAAAAAGTTTGTAGATATAAGATAAAATTCCCTTGAAATGAAAAAAAAG